CAATAATCATCAGGGAAATGCATATCAAAACCACAATAAAATATCACCTTACAACTGTCAGAATAGCTAGAATAAAAAAGATAAGAAATAAGTGTTGGTGAGGATGTGGAGAAAAAGGAATCCTCAGACACTGTTGGTGGGAATGTAAATTGGTACAACTACTGTGGAAGACAGTATGGAAGTTCCTCAAAAAATAAAAAATAGAATTCACAAATGTTTTCTGAACTTAATGGATCAAAACTAAGTTCTTAAAAAAAAAAAAAAGAGGTTAGAGTGGGAGAGAGCCAAAGCATAAGAGACTCTTAAAAACTGAGAACAAACTGAGGGTTGATGGTGGGTGGGTGGGAGGGGGAGGGGAGAGTGGGTGATGGGTATTGAGGAGGGCACCTTTTGGGATGAGCACTCGGTGTTGTATGGAAACCAATTTATTGTGTCATTTCATATATTTAAAAAAAAAAACTAAGTCCTTACTGTGATGATTAGGACACTACTCTCAGCTGGAGAAAATTTTCCTGTCCATTGTTTTCCTTTTCCAAATTCTTGCTGCCTGCCCTTCTACTCTCATCTCTTTTTTGGAGTTTTGTCCTACTATCCTGTCTATACTGACATCTCTCTTTCTCTTTCTCTATTTTGGGCAGGTGGACTCCTAGGACACTTTTTTTTCTTTGATTACTCTACAATACATTATATTTTTAACTCTTACATATCTTACATATATCTTTTCTTCAATCTAACAAGAGATGAATGGGTGGAACACAATTGCAAATTAAATACTTATGCAATAAACTAGAGGAATATAAAAGCCAAATGGCAAAATTATAAATATTAAACAGATTTTGAGATAATATTTCCTCATAGAAGTGTTTTTTACAATTTACGTCTCATGTTCTGTAGAAATGTGTGATTTATATGAGTCGCATGTTATATTATACTGACATCTGTTTATACCTTAGTTCTAGCGACTTTACTAGAACTGCAGAAAGATGTGATACATCAAATGGTTTTCACAATAAATGTAGAAAATCCTATTTAATAAACATTCATAAAAATAATTATACTTTCTCTACAAGTTTTCAGAATTGACCTACTAACTTTAAGATAAAATCTTTATAGCCGTAATGTCATATTCTAAGGGTTTCTTGTCTTTTTCTTTTTTTTACCAAACATTAAAATATCTTTTGATAGTGTAAGCTGAATTTTTCTACTATTAGAAAAGCCTAGGGTCAATTGCTTTAAAATCACTTAAATAAGTCCAATGAGAGAAAATCTTCTAATGAAATTATTCCCTCCATTTCCACTAATTTTGCTACTTTTCTATTTTTCTTTTGTCTGAAATATATGAATCTAGAATGAAATAGATCACAGTTTAGTTGGCTATGGATTTGTAGGATATTTGTATTATATATTTTTAAATGCCTTGAATATATACATCTTCTGGGGATCTGTTTATTTTACCACTTGCACTAGTTCCTGAAACTTTAACATGATGCTCCCAAAGTGGGGGGGGCAGAGTTTGCAGGAGACTCAGTGCTGAAATGTCACTTCTTTATCCTCATCAAGGAGTTATTACTCTAGGCATACTGCTGCCCATGTAAGGCTCTGTGTTAGGGAGACTCCAGGGACAAATAGTTATAAGCTATGGTTCCTGCTCCATAGAGCAGGAAAACAGTGAAATGGTGATTTGTGTCCAGGTGAAAAGTGCTGCAGGAGTTCCAAGGAAGAAAGTGATTACATGGTTTTCATGAGGGGGAATTGGAATGGTCTTCAGCAGTAGGGTCTAGATGACCAGAGCAGGAGGAGACACATCTGGGGAGAAAAAGAAGCTTACAACACCCTGGAATGAGTGTGCTGTGGTCAAGGGCCAAACAATAAGCCCTTTGGTCTGAGGTGGATCTACAGCATAGGATGGTCTGTGGTAGATCTACAGCATAGAATACATGTGAGAAAACACAGCAGGGCCAGATGGTGAAGGGCACTGGGAGCATGCTCTTGGAGTCCTGACTTTATACTTGGACAATGAGGTATCACTTTGGCTGAGAAGAGGCATGTACAACATGACGTTCCAGACTCGAAGTTTATGAGCCTGAGCCGCATAGAGTGTGTGGGACAAGGGGACATGTGGAAGCAGAAGTTTGCATAGGAGATTATTTTACAATAGTATACAGGAGACTCAGGACTGAATACAAGCAGAGAAATGATAAGGAAGGATTCGGCCACAAAAGACATAGCAAAAGAGAAATCAACGGGACTGGCTCACTGACTCAGTACTGGGGGAGAGAGAAAAGGAGTTAAGGGCCCTAACTCTTGGGTCTCTTTCTGGACTTTCCTTCATATTAGACATCAATTAATTTAGCTTTTGAGGCTCAGCATCTCCCTGTTTTTCTGTGGAACTGCCTTGCCCCCAGTCACTTCACTGATGGGTGCAGGACAATCCAGTCCTTACAATCCTTTCCCCAGGAATCTAGAATTACACCTGACAACTAGAGTGGTCTCCTGAGGTATTTGCTGTGGCCATTTCCTTCCATATGAACTGGGAAGCTGAGAAAGCTTCTCTGTAATAAGAAAAGAGAAGGAAACTGAAGGGAAAAATTTAAAAAGATGAGAGATGGAGAAAAAAAGCTAGGTCTGGGCTCCCTGGTGCACTTTAGTCTCTGCTTTCATGTGTCCCTAAAATGTAACTGCATCCCTCCTCTCTAATTCTGTACAGCATCCTTATAACACAGTATTACATCCCCCCACTTTGATTAAGCTAGCTTGGCAGGCTTATTGTTACTTGTAGCCAAAATCATCCAAACTGATAGATTCCTCAGCACAAACTCTTCATTGTCGGTCAGTTGGTGCTCTGGCTACTCTCTGAACACTTCAGCGCTTTACTGACTCCACATTTTCGTACCATTTCCTTCATCTAGAATGCTTGCCCCTTCCTAATCCCTGCTGACTCTACCTGTATAAATCCTTACTATCCTTTCTTTCTTCCTTCTCTCCTTATTAAGTACTTTTTGAGTGATTCCATAGTATCTATAAATTGTAATGTTATATTTTTCCACTTCAAGTCCCTGATTTTCGTAACCTCATTGGAAGAGTAACTAAAAAGATACAAAGAGGGTAGAAAGTGATGGATAGTAGGACAAAAATCAGGAAATTTATGCTCTCACATATACAAATTTAAACAATCCAAAGGACAGTGGTCTATTTGCTTACTAATACCTTTGGCTATAAAATGGGTTCAAAGAGGTAGGCCATTTGGCCAAAGCAGATATTTTAGATGAGGAAGTATATCATTCAGGAGTATCAGATGAAAGAAGATAAAAACAGCCTCTGAGGGGCACCTGGGCGGCTCAGTGAGCTAAACAACCAACTCTTGATTTCAGCTCAGGTCATGATCTCATGGTTCTTGGGATCAAGCCCCATGTCAGGCTCTGTGATGACAGTGTGGAGCCTGCTTGGGATTCTCTCTCTCTCCCTTTCTCTCTGCCCCTCCCCCACTCATGTGTACTCTCTCAAAATAAACAAACATTAAAAAAATAAACAGCCTCTGAGGGACACCTGGGTGGCTCAGTTGGTTAAAGCGTCTGACTTTGGCTTAGGTCATGACTTCATGGTTCATGGGTTCGAGCCCTGCATCGGACTGTGTGCTGACACTTCAGAGCCTGGAACCTGCTTCCAATTCTGTGTCTCCCTCTCTCTCTGCCCCTCCCTTGTTCAAACTCTGTCTCTGGCTCTGGCTCTCTCTAAAAAATAAGTAAACATTAAAAAAAAAAAGTCTCTGAACAAGTAATGCAAAATACACTATTTAGTGCTACAAATTTGATTTTATAAATATCCAGAGGAGGTCCTACAGCAAATAAGAGACTGATATGGAACCCACCAATGCTTTCTTACTTTCTCCACTATGCTAAACTATCCCACAGGAAATAAAGAAGAAATACATCAATTTTTAGATGAGACAAACATTTCACTTTATATAATTTTTTAAATCAATAACATATTTTAAACTGTTATCCATTAAAATAGAAATATATTCCAGGAACCATCTTGAACCTAATGCCTGGGCTATATTGTGAAGCAACAGCAATAATAAACTGTTATTCTCTTTTAAGACACTACAGAATATTGCTTATAAAGGCTTCATTTTGCCTCTAAAATGAGAAAACCAATCTGCTATCTTGTGAAATCTCACATAAATCTGGCACACAGTGGCGTTTACCTTCCCTTCAGCAATTGTGGCCTTTGTTCTGGTAACTTACAATGTCTCAGGAGGGGAAAATCCAAAATTGCCTTATAAAATCAGTATGAAAATGGGCAGCAAATGGATGGACACTTAATGAGCAAGATAAAGTGCCAAGAAATAGTTAATGTTTCTTTCGGCCTCATTCAAAGGAACATTCCTAAGACCCCAAAGCACTCACAGCAGAAGATTACATGAGTGGCACCGGTTAGCGCAACGCTATTGTACAAACAATGTGTTGCTGAGCAGGGCAGAAATATTGTTTACATGAAAATGGAATGATCTCTAGTGAGTACTGAAAGAAAGTGATAATTTCCATAACCAGGAAAAGCATTTTTACATCATTCCATTTCAACCACTATAAAACCCTGAGTTGCTTTGGCAATTGCTTATCCCTGCTTTCCTGGCTTTATATCATCCTCATCTCTGCAGCTTTTCATTTACTAAATGACAGGGTTTTTTGTTGTTGCTTTGCCTTATTTTTTTCCTTGAAATTATGGCAGAAAACACCACCATGCTGTATGGTTTCTCAGGGTCCACCTTCCAATGTTCATACAATGAATTTTTAGTGCTACTTTCACAAAAGCCCAGTTGGCTTATCCTCCCAGTAAAACTGCTGAAACTATGATCAGAAAAGCTCCCCCAATAGCAACTGTAAACTAAGCACTTCTCTACCTTTATGGAGCCTTTCATTCTACATACAGTGTTTGTTATACTGAGAACAAAGCACAGAGCTGTTTCAGTGAGAGAAGGGAAATACAAAAACACTTACCTGCATTACAATGAGGAGGTCAAAGACCAAGATGAAAGAAGCCAGGAATGCTCGGGAAACTTCATCACTGGGCAAAAATCCCCGATTCAGCTTGTCCCAGCTGATCCAGTCAGTTGTAATGACAAGTACAACCACAGAAGTGAGAGTAAACAGAACCGTCCTGCAAGAAACAAGATACTCATTAAAGAACGTTGGACATAATAATATAGACAGTGAAGAGTGTGTGTTATCTGTGCTTTATTAAATGTCTATCCTTTGCCAAGTACCCTTTGCCAAGGCATATTCACCAAAATGAAGATGAACAAAGAAGTAAATTAAGTGCTTTCTTTCAAAAGCAATTAGAAAAAGGTATGATAGCATCTATCCCAAAATTTTCCCTTAAGACCATTAAGGTAATGATTATAGAATAAATAATTAACAACAAAACCATTACAAATGGCCTTGGCTAGTACAATATATGTCCCAACGAGAACACTGGTGTGTACCTCTCATTACATGTACATCATTTACTGACGGTAGTAGACATGCACATGTAAGAACAGAAGGCAGATGGGAAATGGGCAAAATCCAAGCCTTTGGATTTTATTACGTGCTACAAAAGAGAGGGATGGCTAACCAGTCCCATCATCATGCCCAGGGCCTAAGGAGCTCCATGGAAGAACCACCTCTACACACGGACGGTGTAGCCACTTCTCATAGGGCGTGTTTCATAGATGGCTTGTGGCCTAGTGACCTGTCTAGGTCATACCGTTTGATTGCCCATTCCTTGATATAAGATACTAGGGACGTGAGCTTATTTCTTATCTTTGTGGCCCTGTGAAATCTTGCATAATTGTATTGATGGAATTCAATGAATTTTTCTTGGAATTATAACAATTAACAATTAAGGTTTTAAAAAGAATCAAGAGTACTTAAATTAGTCTTTAATATTGACATTCAAATTAAATCTGAACTATGGGCAGCAAAAATTTAATATGCCAGAGGATTATCTGTAATGTAGTTAAACCTCTGCTTTCAGAGCTATATTGGTATCTGGATATTGTTTTGAATTGTAAAAAGGAGTCTATGGCCATACCACCCCAAACACACCTGATTTTGTCTGAATTATAAAAACAAAAATGAAAAAAAAAAACAATTACTTTGAAAATAATCAATCTAAAGAAAGAAAAAAAAGAAGAAACAAGAACATAAAAAAAGATAAAAAAAGAATGGAAGAAAATACACGGAGGTAAAATAAACCTTAGAAGAATACCTACCCATTTTGATAATTAACAAACTTGTTTTTGCCCTCTGATGTTTGATAATAATTGATACAAAAAAACCCACACAATAATATGGACCATCCTAAAATTCTCTTTTCAACTGAACAAAGCACAAATTTCTAAATTTAAATACTGGGTTTGCCTTTTACAACCTCTTATTTGTAATATTTGATATAATGAATATCAAATAAATAATTTGATATAATGAATATAATGAACCCTTCCTTAGATTTCTCCCTCCGTATGAATAAAAAAAGATATATTTAAAACGTTTTTGAAAAATAAAAATGTCTAATAAAATTATTTTATTAAAATTGCAAACTGTCAAAGAATTTGACTCATGATCTCTAAAATATAAATTACAGATTGTCTCTACTACCATTTAGAATATCTTTGATCATTTGTAGAAATTCAAATGGATTAATTAAGAATGGGAGGAATCCTAAATAACTATTACAATTCAAGAGAAATGAAATAGCAAATATTATACAGTCTAACATAAGAATAATGGGATTTTAAACAAATTTTTCTCCAGGTTAAATCAGTTTGTGGTTTTTGATTTTGTTTTTTTCTCTTAGGCAAGTAAAAAGTCTATATATTTAATGCAATAAGAAATCCCTGGATGGCATATTAGTCCAACAATAGCACTCAAAACAAAGCTCCTTTTATCTTCCTTCTCCTCCATCTTTAATATGACTTTCACCCTTATTATGGTAAGATGGTTTCTCTATCACCAGACATTTCATCCAGTCAGGCATTAAGACAGGAGTAAATGCCCAAAAGACATTCCAGTGGATCTGCTTCTTTCTTTTTTTAATGCCAGTATAGTTAATATATAGGGTTATATTAGCTTTAGGTGCACATTATGTTGTTCAACAATTGTATACACTATTCAGTGCTCATAATAAGTGTACCCTTAATCACCTATTTCACCCATCCCTCACCCATCTCCCCTTTGGTAACCATCAATTTGTTCTCTATAGTTAAGAGCCTGCTTTTTTGGTTTGTGACTTTTTTACTTTTTCTTTATTTGTTTTATTTCTCAAATTCTACACGAGTGAAATCATATGGTGTTAGTCTTTCTCTGACTGACTTATTTCACATAGCATCATACCCTCTGGATCTATACATGTTGCTAATGGCAAGATTTCATTCCTTCTTAAGGCTGAGTAATGTTCCATTGTATATATATGCCACCTCTTCTTTATCCATTCATCAATCAGTGAACACTTGGGCTGCTTCCATGATTTGACTATTGTAAATAATGCTGCAATAAACATAAAGGTGCATATATCTTTTTGAATTAGTGGTTTTATATTCTTTGTGTAAATACCCAGTAATAAAATTACTGGATCATATACATGGTAATTCTATTTTTAATTTTTTTGAGGAAGGTCTATACTGTTTTCCACATTGGCTGCAACAGTTTGCATTCCCACCAAAAGTACAAGAGGGTTCCGTTTTCCCCACACCCTTCCCAACATTTGTTGTTTCTTGAGTTTGTGATTCTAGCCATTCTGACAGGTGTGAGGTGATATCTCATTGTAGTTTTGATTTACATTTCACTGATGATTAGTGATGTTGAGCATCTTTTCATGTGTCTATTGGCCAGCTATATGTCTTTGGAGAAATATCCATTCATGACTTCTGCCCAGTTTTTTTTTTTT